TTTTTTTTTTGTTGAAGTATTTTAAAGTGGACTTAAGAAATATTTTTAAAATAAAAAAAAATATCAGAAAAAAAAAAAAAAATATTAAAATAGGCACTGAAAAGCAGAAAATTTAGAAGTCTTTAATGTACATATATATTTAAAACAATAAGAATTAAAGTAAAAAATTAAATTATATATTTAAAAAGTGAAAAAAAATAAATAGAAGAAATTTTACGAAGAATCAAAATATATTATTAAAAGATTATTAAAAAAAAAAAATAATTATAATTAACAAATAATATTAAGAATAACAAAAGGTAAATAAATATATAACAAAATTTTTTAAAGAAAATAAAAAATAATATATAGAAAAATTATTCAGGAGAGTAAAAAAAAATTTGAAAGATGAATGAAGAAGTAGAAAAATGTTTAAATGATAAAAGTAGAAAAAACTCTTATGATATAAATATATATAACATAAAAAAAGAAGATGTAATTATTCAGGATAATATGAATATAAATAAAAAGTCAACAATTGATATTGATAACAATGATCAAGTAAATATATATATTGAAAATAGTGATTTAAATAAAAAAATATACAATTGTTATACATGTAATATACAAATATATAATTTTTCTTTTTTTCGCTATCATTTCAAATCAGAATGGCATAAATATAATCTTAAAAGAAAATTACTAAATTTAAATTCTATAAATGAATTAACTTTTAATGAAAAACTTAAAAATTTAAAAATAAATCAAGAGAATAAGGAAGAGAAAGAGAATAATAATCACAAAAAAAATAGTAACAATAATAAAAAAAAAAAAGAAAAAAAAAGCAATTCAGAATTTTATAATCATAAAAAATTGAATAACACTAGTGATTTCAATAAAATTAAATATGCAACGAAAGAAGATATTTTATTAAAAAAAAATGTGAAGTATGATAATCCATTAGTCTGTTTTTTTGATAATAGAATATTTAATAGTATTGAAGAAAATATAAAACATATGAATGATGATCATACCTTTTTTATACCAGATGAAAAATATGTAACTGATATTAAAAAAATTATTTTAACAATAGGAAAAAAGATATATGAAGAAAATATGTGTATTTATTGTTTTAAATATTCAAAATGTGTGAAATCAATACAAGAACATATGATATGCAAAGGTCACACTAAAATTCATGATGATTTTTTTGTTTTTATTGAAAAATATTACGATTTCTCGAAAACATATGTTGATCTATTAAATAAATATATTCATAACAAAGAAGATAAAGAAGAAATTCTTTATCTTCTACAAAAAAAAAAAAAAAAAGAGATTACTTCAAGATATCACATGAAAGAGGAACAAACAAATAAAGAAAATAACGAAACAGATTCATTAAAATGTAAAAATAATGAAGATAGTAAAAGTAATAATGATTTAATAAAAAATGAAGTAAAAATAAATAACGATAATCATAAATTAGAAAATCCTGTTTTTGAAAAGAGATTTAATACACAGGATAATTTAGATAATGATGAAAATGGCAATGATATGGATATTAACCATGTAGATAATAATATAAATTTAAGCTTCGACAAACATATTGACGATAGTAACACTAATAAATATAGAAAAGACATTTGTGAAATGAATAACAATAATGATACATGTGACGATTTTAAAGTAAAAGAAGAAGATTTAAGTAAGAACTTAAATTATGATATAATTTATGAGGTTTTAGAACAATTTGGTTATAATAAACCAGAAATAAATGAATATAATAATTTAGTTTTACCAGATGGATCAGAAGCAATTAATAGAAAAATTGCATATATATTTAAACAAAAGTTACCTTTAGAAAATAGAACTAAATGTGATAAAATAGATGTATTAAAAAAAAAAGAAAACTCTCTTCAATATCGTAAATATAAATATTATATTGATTATATTAAAAAATATAATTTAAATTTAAATTTGAAGACCAATAACCTAAATAAATTCTATAAAAGTGATTCTATTTTTTTTATATAATTACACTAATTATTAATATGAAGAATATTAACGTATATATATATATCATTACATAATTATTCTCCCTTAAAATTTTTTTTTTCAATTTTTTTTTTTTCAAATTTTACAAAATATACAAAAAGAGATGTCCTATATTTAAAAAAAAAAAAAAAAAAAATGGGTTACAATTTATATAATAAATTTTACATAAAATTATTTAATTATGTAAAGAAAAGAAAGATAAAAAAAATGATAGGATTAACAAATAAGAAATGAATAAACGAGATTTATCATGTTCAGAATTCCTAATTTCTGTATAAATAAATACGTGAATAATTAACAGTATTGCAAATTATAAATATTGTAATTATTTTAAATAAAGTACTATATAAAAAAAAAAAAAAAAAAAAAAAAAAAAAAAAAAAAAAAAAAAAAAAGA